TCCGCATATGCATTAGCATCTGGTTGATACCCAAGTGCAAAAATTTCATTGTAAATTTGATACGCCTTATCCAATTGGCCATTACTAGCATATGCTATAAGCATACTATTACGTGCCCAATTTAATCCGTTTGTATAATTTCTTCGATAGTAGGTTGACGAAGAAATTTTTGTGAAGATTCTTTGATAATAGAATCTTTAGTGGTTAAAACTGCTGATGCTATTTCTTTCCATTTTTCAACACCTTCGAGATCCCCGCTTCCATAATCTCAATAATTAATAAATGTTCTTTATATTCACGGGCTAAATTAATACAAATAATTAATATTTATCAATTTAATTAGTTAATATGTATATTAATGGATTTTTTATACTTACTCTCTGATAATTAAAATTGGTTAATTAAAAGTATATAAGATATTAACTTTTAAAATAATAAAATTAACGAGTTAGCTTACTTTTCAATCCATACTTCTATGCTAATCCCGAAATTGTAACAAATAGCAGTTTTATACAGTAGATCCCATTAAGATTCTTCATTTCGGCAGACCTTTGGTTTATCTTTTTCAACTCCGATTTCTAAACTATAATATCTAACCTAATACATTCTGTTAGAATTATCCATGTTTGCAGATTGTTGATAATAAACGAACGCACGGTGTTCATCCTTTTCAACTCCAATTCCATATTCATAACAATAACCGAGTCAGTACATTTCGTCTGGATCATTCATATCAGCCTTGGATTTCTGCGATATAGACTGGGTCTACCATACAACATTTGAAAACCTGGAACTTGAAATTTGGCCCCTAAAATATTATAATCGGCATTTTGTGTAATTTCAATAATATATGCAAACACCGATATAATTTTTTAGGGGCCAAAATTTCAAGTTCCAGGTCTTCACACCCCCCGCACTCATTTGTATTCACTATAATCACATTCAAGTATCACAATGTCTATTTTTTCCAAATTTGTGCTTGTAAATTCCACCTAGATTAATTCCGAATAAACGTGGTATTCGAAACTTTTTTGGTGACGGTTTTGATTGAAAACATTTTAACTATTTAATAAAATTCGATGCACTTTTTTTTAATTTGAATTCTATGAATCCATAGAATTCAAATAAAAAAAAGTATATCGAATTTCATTAGGTGGTTGTCGAAATATCTATTTTGTCGCGATTTGCCGCAGCTTCTTTTTTGATAGACGTTTAATATTTAAATTTTGATCGAAGATATCTTGACAACTATTCTATGAAATTTGATATACTTTTTTTTATTTGCATTCTATGAATCTATAGAATTCAAATTAAAAAAAAATATCGAATTTCATTAGGTAATGGCAGAGATATCTTCAATCAACGTTAGGAAACATTTTGCCATGGCTTCTATTTTGATAGACGTTTAAAATTTTTTAAAATTTTGATCGAAGATATTTCGACAACTACCCTATGAAATTCGATGTATTTTTTTTTATTTGAGTTCTATGAATCCATAGAATTCAAATAAAAAAAAGTATATCGAATTTCATTAGGTGGTTGTCGAAATATCTTTGATCAAAGTCAGGTGTTATTTTGTCGCAATTTGCCGCGGCTTCTTTTTTGATAGACGTTTAAAATTTTTTAAAATTTTGATCGAAGATATCTCAATGACTACCCTATGAAATTCAATGTATTTTTTTTATTTAGGTTCTATAAATCCATAGAATTCAAATAAAAAAAATATAGATTAAATTTTATTAAGTAGTTATTGAGATATTTTTGATTAAAATTAAAAAATATTATATTATACCTTGTGTTTTGATAGAAGTTAAACTTTGATTAAAAATATCTTGATAACTATTTTATAAAATTTGATATATTTTATTTTATTTTAATTTATATGATTTCATAGAATTCAAATAAAAAAATATATCAAATTTTATTAGATAATTATTAAGATATATTTAATCAAAGTTAGAAGATATTTTATTTTAATAAATGGTTAAAATTTTTTTAAAACAATAATTAAAGATATCTCAACAACTATTTTACAAAATATAATATATTTTTTTTATTTAAATTCTATAAATCCATAGAATTTAAACAAAAAAAGATTTAATAAAATTTATTAAATAGTTGTTAAGATATTTTTGATTAAAATTTTTAAAAAAAATAGTCTAAAAAAATGATCTTTATATATATAAAAATATTTATAGTATTTTCTTTTTAAATTGAATTGATTTTTTAATATTTATAAAATTAAATATTTATTTTAAATAATTTTATAAATTTTGGTTTAAATTTTGAATTATTAAAATAAAAAATTTAATAAAATAATAAATTTTCAAATTTTATAAAAAATTTATTTATAACTACAAATTAAGAGATATAATATATAAGTGTAATATAAGACTTTAGCTAACCCTTCTTCTAAAATATTACATAATATCTATCACTGCTCTATTTACAATGGATCAAATATCAACTTAATTTATACAACTTACTTCTAAATCTTCAAATCTAGATGAGTTTTAGCTACTTTGATAGATTTAGACTACAAATAATTATATTATTGTAATATAGTATTGTGTTTAAGTCTTTAATCTTAAGTATTCTTTGAATATAAAATTCAAATATATATAATTTTTTTTTATTTTGTAAAGAAACTTAATTGAATTTCAATAAAGTTATAGGTATAGTTTTACCTTTAAGATTTAAAAAAAAAATTCTTGTATATCAGAAATTATAATCTATTATTTAGCTATTTTTAATAGTATTCAAATATATTTATTGTCACAGATGATGCTAAATTTGGATGATGCTAAATTCCACGTGACTCATGCCTATACATCGTATCATGTGACACAAAAATTAGCGTCCTAAAAATTCTGAATTTATAATCAAAACAAAATTGATTCACTAGGATTCAGAACTTGGTATTCAGATGTTAGGGTTAGGGTTCAGGTTCGGGACTTGGTATTTGGGCGTTAAGGTTAGTGATACAAATCAAAATCGAAATTAATCGATTAGTTGGTTAGTTGACAACTAATCGACTGAACTTTTTAGACACCAACTAATCGATTAATTGATTAATCGACTAATTGATTAGTTGCAACTAATAGACCAAAAAAGTAATCGATTAGTTGCAAAGAATCGATTGAAAAATCATTTATTTGCTTAATGAATTAGTTGCAACTAATCGATTAATCGATTAATCAACCAGTTGCACTAATCGATTAATCGA